TGACTGTAGAGGACGGAGCAGGAACAGAGTCATAGAGGACCAAAGCAGGCTGATAAGATCAGGAGACTGTCCAGAAAATTGATAAGCCTGGAACATAAATGCAAGGAAAAGAATTAAAATAATGTTTAGATGCCTTATTAAGGATGGTCATGTAAGCCATAACAGGAAGTTTATGTATTATATGAATTATATCCCCTTGGATAAGAGAAATGACTGGAAGCTTTTCATCATGAGCATATTACAGGCAGATATTATATATATAGTCCTCACTCAAGGATATGTTTATTGATTTTAGAGTGAGAGAATGGTAGAGAGATGGAGAGGAAGAAGAGAGAGAGAGAGAGAGAGAGAGAGAGAGAGAGAGAGAGAGAAACATTGACTGGTTGCCCTTCATAAGGGCCCAGATCAGAATAAACCCACAGCCTATGTATGTCCTGATCAGGAATGGAATTTGAAGACTTTCTGTGTACAGGTTGGTGCTCCAACCAACTGAGCCACACCGGCCAGGGCTACAGATTTATATTTTATCTATTTTATACAAAAACATAGAAGATGGATGTAAGGGGCCAAGCCAGCTTTAGAGTGACCAGTTAAGAGGTTAATGCATTAGTCTGGACAATAGATCATGAAGGCCTTACCTAGAGTAGTAGCAATTGAGCTGGAGAAGACACTAGTACATTTAAGAAATATTAGATGAGTGAACTTTTCAGAATTTATAGGTTCATTGGTGGTGCATAGGCTGACTCCAATGTATACAAATGAGAAGACTTTGCAGATGGTAGAGTTACTATTTAAAATACAGATGGAAGAAAGAGGGGTGCAAAAAAGGGACGTATAAAAGTGAGAGGGGTAGGAGAAGAACCAGGAACAGATGATATTATGTAATCGGAAAAAATTAAAGAGCATGAAGAAGAAGGAACTAATAATCAATTGTCAATGTACGTAAGAATCTAATGAAAAATGGATTAAATTGGGCCCACTGCTGTTGGCAGTTAGGTGGAACTGGTTATTCTTTGCTAGATGAAAGTCCATGAAAAGATGAAGGTAAAAAATAAATAATAATTGAATTTTACATCCCTCCTCCATCCTCAAAATTGGTCTCATATCCCACTTCTTGTCACAGGTTCCTGTAGACATAATATGGGTTATAGGAATAGACAAGCAACATGTGTTGTTGGGTCCATAGTGGGAACGTAGTTTACTTTTATGATTTTGACATACTTCACTGAGAAGAGAATGTGATGAGTATGGTGGTAGATATGGGAGAGAGAGATGAAAGGAAAGAAAATAAGAGAAAATTCAAAGCAAGGCCATTTAGGATGGAAAATGATAAAGTGTGTTATTTATGTTTTATCTTTATAAATTGAATGGATAGCATTTTATTACTGATTTAAAGACATAATTAACTCCTCCAATAGAACCCATCGAAATTTTTAAAAAATGGTTAAAAGTGTTCTGCCCCAAACCCTAATAATCCCATTTCTGTGAGTCAAATTACTTCCTAGGACCCATTCAGTTGACTCAATAGTGTCTTATATTCATCTCCCTTGATTTTGTAATCTCTGTTAGTCTTTCAAGACACCAAAAAACAAACAAACAAAACAAAACAAAAAACTACAGACTAGGTAGCTCAAACAACAGACATTTATTTTTTCCAGTTCTGAAACACAGTAGTCCAAATCAAGATTGTAGCAAGTTTAGTTTTTTAAAACGCTTTCTTCTTTGTTTTCAAATGTCTACCATCTTGCTGTGTCCTCACATGAACTATTCTCTCTGCAAGCACATACCTGGTGTCTCGTTGTGTGTCCGAATTTTATCTTCCAAAAGGACACCAGTCAGATTTGTTTAGGGCCCAGTCCAATAACCTATTGTAATTTAATAACCCCCTTAAAGGACTTAGATCCATTCTGAAGTACTGAGGGTTAGGGATTCATATGAAATTTTTGTCAATACACTTCAGCCCATAATACCATCTACACTAATAAAAGAGAAACATGGTAATTAGCGTACGACCGCTACCCTTCCCATTGGCTAATCAGCATATCCTTATGCAAATTAACTGTCAGCCAAGATGGTGGCTGGCAGCCATGCACTGAAGCGAGCAGGGAGGCTTGCTTGCTCCAGTGACGGCGGACTCCAACGTTCCCCGCCTAACTTGCTGGCCTCTCAGCGGCAACTCTAAGCAACTATGTTGCAAATATAGAAGCTAAACAAAACCCCAGAAAAAAGCTTTCAGCCAGCCAGGATCTCAGAGGTAGAGTTATACATTGTTTCGATTATAGCAGCGGAAGCCTCAGAGCTAGAGCCAGAGCTAAAGCTGGCCCAGAATAAAAAAGAGAAAAGAAAAAGAAAAAAAGGAGTGGTTGGGAGCTTCAGTCAATTGCCAGCCTGAAAGCAGCCCTCAGCTCCTCACCCAGACTGGCCAGGCACCCCAGTAGGGACCCCCACCCTGATCCAGAACACCCTTCAGGGCAACAAACCGGCCCCCAGGCCTCTATTCTATATAGTAAAAGGGTAATATGCCTCCCAGCACCGGGATCAGCTGAGCTGCGAGCCTCCTGGCACCGGATCAGCTTGACAGGGGGCAGTGCCCAAACCCCCTGATCCCCTGCAGCTCTGTGTGTGACAGGGTGCG